ATGAAACGGTAATACTAACCGTGGGGAATTTTATCATGATTTATCGCCAAACCAGTAATCGTTACATCCCTAAGTACTGAGCCATAAAATTACATGACTTACAGTTCAGATACAGGTTTTCACAAAAACAAAAATCTTATACAACAGCATTTCAGCCTTGAGACTATTTTTATGAAAAGGGATAAATCAAGCATATAAGGTATTTTGTCAATTTAAAACGTATAAATATTACGTATAAAGTCTTAATTGTTTAGATTTTTAGAAGGCACATTAACTTCTTTCTCATTTACAACTCTTATATGTGTTTGCGTAAAAACTAGGGATGCACCGATCCGATATTCATATCAGGTATCGGCTCCGATAGTGCCATTTTTCTCAGATCGGGTATCGGTCAGAGAGGGCCAATCCAAATCCGAAATTTTGTTTTGTTTTGTTTGTTTTTTTCTCTGATTGTGCGATTATTCTGTGTTACTTCTGAAGCCATACGATAGCTTAACGTGAGCTACATATGAATATTTAAGTCCTTACATTAAAGTTCACACAAACTCTTTTCTCCGCTGTGGCTGTCAGTCATTCGTTCAGCCTTTAAACCCTGGTCGCATTCGGTTACGACAGTCAGCTCGGTAAAGCTCTCTCCAAGATCATTCTGTGTTCCCATTATACTTGATTTCTAAATACATGTCTATGATTTTGCAAAAAGGACTTTATCTTCTTGCCGGAGTTTAATGTTGTTTTGTTACTTGCTATCGGGTGTCTGTGAGAACAAAACACGGGCGTAGAAAAGACTATAAATAGTTTTTAACGTACACAGTAACTGAAATTTAAAACTGTTAAAAGAAAGGCTCAATAACTGTTGCACAGATATAATACACTACGCATCAAATTCTCTTCCCTTTGTGCTTTGCAGTTTTTAACACGAAACGAACCTGACGCCATGTTGCTTCAAGCGCATCATTCTGCACACTGTATGCGCACACTGTAAGCGCTTCGTGCTCATAGACTGTATAAAAACAGTTCGTGCTGCACTGTATTTGTTTTGTCCTATCGTATCTATCATATGTTGTTGCCTTATTAAAAAATATGCTATACATTAAAAATACATTTATTTTAATTTTATAGTATATACTTAAACATATATATATGAATGTTTTTAATGAATGGATTTTATAATATAAATAGCAATGTGTAACATTTTACCATATTTAGTGCAACACTTTTATTTGTTCCCCACAAAATATTGTTTTTTCACTAAATGTTTGGATTTCTAAAATTATTGTGCACTGATTTTTCTAGAATAACTTTTGCTGCCGAATTATCCACTAACCTAGTTTATGATACATTTTTGTCATAGATTATAAATATACATAGGCCTATATTTTTTCATATTTATTGTTTATTTTATTTTTCTTTATAATGAAGTAGTCTGTATCTAGTAGATTGTGAAAGAATGATTATCAGTTCCACACACAGAGATATATAAATTCTACATTTATTTAAATGGGGGAAAAAAACTTAACTGGTATCAAATCGGTATCGGCCAATACCGAACCCTAGGTATCGGAATCGGTATCGGAGGCGAAAAAGGCGGATCGGAGCATCCCTAGT